TCTCCTGTGACAAAGCAGGTTGCTTGGCTACAGCAACAAGAGCGGCTGCTGAGAGCTTCATATATGTCAGCTTGAACCTCTAGGACAAGAGAAGATTTCCAATGGACCATCAAAGAGAAAAAAAGCGCTCTGGAGTCCTCCATTTTTGAACTTCTTGGACAACTGTAAGTGTGAAAACTCTCAATCCTTCACATTTGGTTCCCACAGATTCTTTTGGAAACAATCCGGGCTCCAAGGAGCCCGAGCCGGCCGAGCAGGGAGTCGGTAGTGCCTCTGAGGTGAGCGGCTGCTCTACTGCAGCGGCAGCAACGTGATTTGGCGCCCCACAGCCTCCTTGACCACCGGTGGGGAGAAAGCCGAGGAGATCTTCTGTTGGAAAGGCGACCTCTGCTTTTGTGTGGGGGCAGACATGGACGTTGGGAGAGAGGTGTAGATGGAAGTGGATGCAAAATCCGTCGCAACATTCGGAGGTTCAATCGTACGTCGCCGCGAGCGGCGAGTGAACACTCCTTGAGAGCATGCCACAGTCATCGAAAAGGGGGTTATGTCTCGTGTCTTTTGGGTGAAGGTCTCACGGCTCGTCCCATGTAGAACTCTCAGCGCCGCCGGCACGCGTGCCGCTCGCACGCACAAGGCCACGTGAAGAATACCACCTGTGCGGCCATGTCGCCCAATGGCCAGTGGGTGGTCTCAGGCGCTGAAACCCCATGTGCTCCGAGAACAATCCCCGTTTTGACGCACAAGGGGATCGCCCCATTTTGGGTGAACCACACAGGTTTTGAGCGGAGTCTTCGTTCACGTGGCTCTCCGCTTCCAAAGTGATCTCGGTGGCGCTGGATGGTCGGCTGATTTGCTGGGAGGTGGGAAGTGGCCTCTCCATGGAAAGCATTGTGGATGTCACCCACTGTTTGGCCAGCGACAGCATGACTGGGAATCCTTTTCACCCCTCGGCTCCACTCATGGGAGTTTTGCATTATGCAATGATCGCACATTTCAACACCGATTTTGGATCCTCGGGTGGCGAGTGCCAAGTGCCTTGCCTCCTCGGTTGGCGAGTTCCGCTCGAGTTTGGCTCTCAAGACCATGGCTGCCATGGCAAGTTTTGTTTGTCGAGGTTTGACAGCGCTGGATGATGACATGGCTCGCCTTGCGGCAAGATCCTCAAAGGGGCGAGAGTTCGCGTTGGAGTTCATGATCACGGAAGGAAGTGTTGGCGACCCGAGTTTCCATTGCGTTTACTCATTGCCAGAGTCCAAGTTTAAGATGTTTAAGTCATGGTGCTTAATTTATTTATATAGATGTAATTCTCACTTATTTAGTGATATTTAATTGTCAAGTCTGGCGAAAGGATTTGGGGACTGCGGCAATGGTCCTCAAGTAGCTGATCAAGAAGTGGTAATAATGACTGATATTTCATCAACTAGTGATATTCGTCACTAGAATCAATCACTACTGATACCAACCTTGCTGGTTATTTGTTGGAACCCCAACAGAAGTGTGAAGTGGATGATCATCTTGCACCAAGGAGTGGCTAGAAAAAGCTGAATCTTTCCGCAGGGTGGCCAAGGAACAATGACACTGTTGTGCGCCGTGGCCTTTTGGCTTTCTCAAGGGGGAGCGTTCACGAGCGGTGCGTGGTGCGATGTGTGTCCTGTGTAGGTTCGGGAGTGTTGTGGTGATGATTGTGCGTGTGTGGGCGCAGGAATGCTGCGCGCTGGTTTCTAATTAGCGGACGGACCGCATCGTTTGATGCCGCTGTATTTGTTGGCTTTGTTTTTGGGTTCGGCTGTTGTTGTTTCGTTTGTCGTGATGTCAACCATCCAGTGCTTAGTACATGTTGAATCCTTTTGATATTGAAACAGATCGAGTGTTGGGTCGATGACACCATGTCGAAACTTGACATGCATGTTTTGATGGCTGCTGTTGAACCCCACTGGGCATCAAAGCAGTTTCCTCAGCTGATCAGTTGAACCCACTTTGCAGTCCTCGCAACGCTTGGGTGGTTGCCATGTCTTGATCCAGACCTAGGCGTGGCACAGCAACTGTCTGCTGCGCTACGAGCTAAGAATTGGATTCCGCAGAAAGCAGAAGATAGATACTAAATGATACTAAGATACTTCTAAAGAACACTTCTGATGACAAAATTGTTTTGGCTTGATGGAGTTCAGCCTGTGGTCTTCCCAAAGTTTTCTTGGAACTGCAAAGCAACACTCACTCCTGTTTCGTTGAAAGCATTGGGCAGGGTGGGCATGTGAAGATCATCTGTCAGTTCCGTCCTGAGTCGCTTAGACAGCTGCACAATTCTGGCAGGTTCATCCAGATTTGCACATGCCACATTCGCTGCAAAGTCTACGATCCCATTTGCACACCCTGACTGCAGCGTTTTT